TTAGTATTACTAGTCCAAAGAGTGATAAAAATTTAAGAATAAGATTGAAAGTTTCGAATTCAAATTACTTCAAAAGGTAATTAAAAGTTTGTTCGGTCATTAAGTTGAGAATCCCGTGATTAATCAAGATGCTTGCAAACTAATCCGAACACCCAATTTAAAAATAAAAATAAAAAGTATAAAATTTTATTTCGCAAATATCCTCTCTAGGACTAAAGGGTTCTTAGTTAAGTTCCATTCCATCCACTAAGAAACAGAGCAGTGCTTTGTTATAAGAGGGTGCTCCCCACCCACACAATATAAGAGTTATCTCTGTTGGTTCAATACCTAAATATTTATTTATTATTATTATTATTTATTAATTAATAGTATTAAAATATTATATTTTAGTAATATTGTTCTAACTGTGTAAATGTTATTTATTTTATTTTTGTTACAAAACGACAAATTATAAATATTATAAGTGAGTTTCATCATGAGAAAGAGTCAGTCACATTAAATAAAGGAGTCTTCAAATTTTAGCGATAGCTAAATGATGCAGATCAAAATTTAAGGATATAATTAGAAGTGGTTTTTGTGATTTTACTTATTGCTGAAACTAATTATAAAACCATCTACTTACTATTAAAAGTGACATTTTTTACCATTCATATGAACATACTAATTTGTTGAGTATAGTCGGTATGTAATCCCAACTTGCAATCATATAATAATGGTTTAGAGATGCAAAACACAAATCTTACAATGCTAATTTAGACACAAATTGTGTTTCGAGTCTCTAAATTACTATTGCAAGATTATTGCAAGGTGAAATTGTTGCATATAATTAAACACTTAGAATCCATTTGAAAAGTGACTTTTTTAGTAATTTTTTTGATTAAATATGAGATGAAAAAAATTAATAAGTTTATGAATAATTTTTTGGATTTTTTACAAAAAAACATTTATATGAAATAGAGTGAGTATGATGTAATTTTTCACTTTTTTTTTATATATGAATTGAAAATTTTTTAACTTTGACTTTTTTAACACATTAAAAAACATTTAATTTTGTACTATAAAATGGACCCTAAAGAACAGTGGGAGGATAGAGGAAGCCAAGGTGATAAATCCAACAATGATAAGAGAGCTTGCAACTAATAATTCTGTAGGTTCACGAAACCCTCACATGGCAAAACAATCTCTTTTCTGGATCCTATAAGATTAGACTACTGTACAATTTCACTGTTTCAGACAATGACCTGTTTGGATACTGTGGTGAGGTCCTGGGAATCACAAGCAACATGACATTATTCTTCAAGTGTTCCTGACAAATGATGTAGTTGGGAAAAGTCGTGTTTGGCCCTGATGCTCTTTGCTTCTAAATTCCCGCTTGATGTAAAATATTTCTTTTTTGTACGTAAGCAATAGCATATAGTATTTCAGGACACTAATCAGTGTTTGGTTTTAATTTTTTGAAAATTGAGTTTTTTTTTTAATATTTTTTTTTGTTTTTAATAAATATTTTTAAAATTTTAAATATTTTTTTTACTTTTTTAGATGCTCTTACTTAGATGTATCTAAATAGTAAAATATTGGATAAATTAGAAATACACTCCCTGAAGTTTGTTTAAAATATAGATTAGCTCATGTGGTTTGAAAAATTACAAATATCCCCTTATTAGAATTTTTTATTTAACAGAATTAATTGAAAAAATAAAATTGCTAATTACTCTCCTATATAATAATAAAATTACCTAAATTATTAATTGAAACATATTTTTAACATCATTAAAAACTGTTAATTGACTTAATGATTTATTAATAAAATGGGTAATTTGTTATGAAATTAAAAACCTCAGAGAATGGAATGTAATTTTCAAAATCACAAGGGACGATTCGTATTTTAATAAAACTTTAGGGGGTGTATTTGTAATTTACCCTAAAATATTTATGAAAAAATATTTTAAAAAATTAATAAATACACAAAAAATATATAAAATATATTGAATTTTTATATTTTTAGCATTTAGTGAATTTTTTAAATATTTTTTTTACAAATATTATATTTTTTAAATGAATTTATGTTAGGTGTGTCTAACAACTTTAAAATTGCTTAAAATATTAAAAAAAATTTAGTGAAAATAAAAAAAAATGAAAAACGAAAATGTAAAATTTTCTGAAAAATGAATTTTAAAAACGAAAACCAAACAAAGTGAATAATTTTCTATGATGAGTTGAGTGGTAAGTGAAGTTGTTATAAACGTCTTAAGCTTTGAAACAATTGACATTGAGATAAGCTCTTATTTGATTGTATAACTTTTGATTTTGTCCTATATTATTTATGTACTTTGCTTTTGTTGTTTATATATGAAAACTTATTTTTTTATACTTGATTAGGTTTTATAAGACTCATGTTGGTTTAGAGTTGGCCCAAATTAGGCTCTAACTCTGTAACCCTTATCTTATTGCATAAGGTGCCTGTTTTTCTTCGATTTGTTCTTAATTTTTTAATTTAAAAGATGTTAAATGGGTGTTTTTAATGTATCCCTATTACAGAGGGGTTTTATCTTTTGGGAAAAGACACTTTTGTATCTATACAAGTTTTTTTGGTGAAAATCTTTCTAATTTGCTAGTTGTAGTTCTTTATCAAAGAAAATTTTTTTTGGTATCAAGGGGACAAATTTGCTTCTAATCCGTCAACAAACTTTACCGAATGCAGGGTAAATTATGCACCAAGAAAAGTATCTTTAGGTGTAACTCATAGCCTTACAGATAAATATACTGTTCAACACTTGATCTCTTTGATCTTATCTTAGAGTTTGTGTCTTGTAATTACTTGATATACGTGTGATGAGAGATTGTATATGTTTGAGAATTAGTCGAAGCAAAACCTCACATACTCCTCCTTAGGCCCCTCTTCTCTAGGAATGGCAATGGGGGGCAATGGGGTGGATATTAATTCCCCATCCCCATTCTCCTATAATAAATTTTCTCCATTCCCCATTCCCCATTCCGGGTACCACCCTCCCCATTTTTTAATGGGTATGGATTTTCCCCAACCCACTTTAATCCCCATTTTTATTTTTTATATTTAATGTTAACAACCACTT